AGAGAGAGAGAGAGAGAGAGAGAGAGAGAGAGAGAGAGAGAGAGAGACAGACTGACTTTCTCCAAAGGTGTTCTGGTTTCTGAAGCACTCTCAAAATGGTCATTCAATCAACAGACAAAACTTTCCAAAGCAATTGAATTTAAATAACTTGTGGGTTTTGTTTGTTTTGCTTTGTTTCCCACTTCCCAGCCCCCAGCCCCCGTGGCTTTGTTTTACAGGTCTCTCCTCTTGGTGTAGCTCTCTGTGTAGCCCTTCCTGGACCCAGGTTGCAGATGAAGGCAGGGCTTGAGGTGTGGAAGCCTATCTCTGTGGGGGAATAGCTGTACAACCTCAGACTGGTCATCTAACTTCTCTGGGCCACTGTTTGGAAGCTTGAGAGGCTGGACTAGGTGGTAATATTAGGGCTGTTCACTTCTTGGGGATTTGAAGTTCTCAGAGCTCAGGAACTCTAGGAGTGGCAAACAAAACCACTCAGAAGGAAATTTCCTCTGACCCAGGATCACTAAGTACTGGGAGGGCCTTCTTTCCTTCATTGGTTAGGTAGGGTCATACAGAAGAGAACATATCCAGAGCTGAACAATACCTACTATGTGAAAGGGAAGATCTGGGCTGTGCCTGTTGGAATGGTATCTGTAGTTTCATCTTGCCCTGCTCTCAGAATGCCCCAAGGTTTTTGCCCAAAAATAGTACAGGACAACTGGCCTCTTCAGCCACTGTCCAGATGAATTATTTGGTTTGACATCAGCTCCCCTTCCAGTCTCCAGCCTTCCTTCTATCCTAGACTTGCTCTAGTATGACCTCAGATAAGTTGAAGTCAGCCTCTTACCCTCAGGTTCCAAATCTGTAAAATGGGGAAACCTTCTCTCAGGACTCTTTTAGTTTTAAGATTCTAGATCAGGGATTTTAAGCTCAAGGAGCAGGCTTGAGAGCTTGAGGCGTCACTGACTGATTCTCAGGAGCAGCCTCTTGACATCCATAGTGGGAATTAAGAGTCCCATAACTGGCTTGGAACTCAATTCTTGTGCTATCTGATCCACGGGGAACTATGGGATAAGCAAATGGAGCCATATGCCATCGGAGTCCTTTTCCAGTTGTAACCTCCCAGCCCTATGGCAGAGGTGGCTGTGGGGCAGCAAAGATCAAGACTGGAAGGGGTTCCAGAAAATGGAGAGAGAAAGCTACCACCCCACTGCCTTTACACCACAGCCTTCTGAATCCCCAGAGACTGGCCTTGGCTGTTTTCCTGCAGCTGTGCCCCAGTGGGGGTGGGGCTGTGTCAGCCAGGGGAGAATTGCCCACTTGTCAGGGGCAGCTTGGAGGAGACAGCTATTACAGGAGGATCCATGGACTGTCCTAGTATAGAGATGTTAGAAGTGGAGCAAGGGGAGAAGAATGGAAAATGAGGAAAAAAGTCAGGCAGAAAGCAAATAGGGAAAATGATCCTCGGGTCAGCCTTTGCCCTCTATCTGCTATGCCTGAAGCAGAGTTCTTGTTTTGGTGGGTTTATGTTTAATAGCAGAGAGCCATCACTTATGATTCAAATGGGTGAGTGTTTAGCATTCTCCCACAACTGTTGAGGCACGGGGAGGAGGGTACTCAGTGTCTGTGTTGGATTGGGTTTTAGCACACTAAAGAACAGAAGGCCCACAGAACTATAGCTACCTGGGTGAAGATACTTCGGTTTTTTGTTTTTATTTTTAAGTCCAACAGTTTGATTGTGGTCTGAGAGCCTTACATTCCCAAGAAACTAAGACACATGCTGGGTAAAGAGCTTTGCTGGATCAGGAGAATTCTGCTAGAAGTCCTAAAATCTATAGGAACTCTGGTGAGGGTTTTTCCTGCCAGGTGGGAACTTCGGCTTTTGTAACCATCCTGATGATACACTGCCAGGCTCTTGCAAATAGAGATAGCTGCTCCTTCAGGTGCTCTTATTAGCTCTGGATGCCAGTGGACTCCTTCCCCTTTTAAAGAGGCCTTGCACCAGATGCGGAAATCCTCTTGTTGACAGAAGCTCTGAACTGAAAGTATCACCAGCTCCCAAGGGACCTATCAGCTCCTAGGCTAAGACAACAGAAAGGATCTGTGCTTCTGTGCTTGAGGCAACCTGGTCCAAGCTTTGGAGACTCC